TTTATATATTATTTGATGATTTATTGTATATTAATATTGATTGTTACTATACTTTTTGGTTGAGCAATCATTTTTATTGTCATTAAACAATCAAAACAATCGATTTTTACTTTTTTAATTTTGTTTCGTATTTTCACGTTGTAGCGTGAATGTTCACATTTGTATAAGTTCAGTTTATTTTTATTTTTTTAAGGTTAATTGTATGTTAATTGTAAACTGTAAATATTCATATTGTATTTTGGCATGAATTTTATCTTTTCAAAATTTAGTTGTATGTTTGTAGTTTTTGTTAATATATTTGTTGGCTGAATAATCATTTATATTACCATTGAACAATTGAAATAGTCGATATACACTTTTTTTAATTTTGTTTTATGTTTTCATGTTGCAATGGGAATGTTCACATTGGTATAAATGCAATTTTTTAAGGGTAGTTGTATGTTAATTGTAAATTATGAATATTCACATTGTATTTTGATATGAGTTTTATTTTTTTGAAAATTATTTGTATGTTTATTATTTATTGTGAACATTCACATTGTACTTTGGTATGTGTTTTGTTTTTTTGAATGTTAGTTGAATATTAGTAGTCATACTAGCACAAACATAGTGTGTATATAGAGATGTGAATGTTCGCATTAATTCTGTAATACAAATAAGTAGTTGCACCCAATGTTAATGTTCTCACACTTATGTAACATTGAGTGTATATATGGTTCCATGAGAAGATGTTATTTACCAACATGCATTTGTAATGTGAAAGTTTACATCAACATTTAGTGAGAGACTTTCAAAAGGTAGATAATTTAGGGTTGTGTTTGGAACGGTTTTCCAAAGTTAATTCTACCCCTTTATTTGCGTTTCATGTTTGTTTACAGTTTTCCAAAGTTAATTCTACATTAAATTTTGAAAACTCTATCTTAGGCGGGAAAATTTGGGCTAACCGATCGTCCGGCCGGTTGATCGGAATAGTATTTTTTTTTTTTGCAATTGACACATATTAATTTTTATATATTCGGAAAAAATATTTTTTGAATTTTTTATAAGTTCTAATATAGAATTTTGAGTCGTGTGTTTGGTTATGAGTTATAAGTTTTTGTATCAAATATCATATGTCATATCAAAAATTCCCTACTCAATTCAAAACTCTTTCACCAAACAAATTTTTTATACTCAAATCATAATTCCAAAACTCACAAACTCAAAATACAACTCCTACTCTCAAATCATATTTAAAAAGCTCTACCAAATGCAACCTAGGATTTTAAGAATGTGAGAGATTTTTTATGTGAAATAAGGGAGAGATTTTTTCCTCTAGAATGAGTGAGTTTTTCTCAATGGAATATAGGAGAGACTTTATCCTTAGAATGAGAATTTGGGATTTTAAGAATGTGAGAGATTTTTTATGTGAAATAAGGGAGAGATTTTTTCCCCTATAATGAGTGAGAGTTTTTCTCAATGGAATATATGAGAGATTTTCTCCTTATAATGAGAATATTTTCCCTAGAATGATGAGAGATTTTCTTTATAGAATAAGGAATTGTTATTATTTTTTTTATTGTGTATTAATTTCAAAATAAAAACCAACTCAGAAAGTTGGAAAGGTGATTTGGTATATTACACCAAATATGACCTAATGAAATACTATAAAAGAATATGAGTTATATAGAACATAAGTCTTAAGAATGTGATTTACTAAAAAAAACTCCATTGTTTATTTGGTAGAATTTTGTTTCTTCTATACCAAGCTCAAACATCAGCCACCAAGTTATAGCTTAAATAACTTGCTTATAGCGTATTTTCATTTAGGAGTTTGTATTAGAACGCTTGGTGCAATTTTTGTATACAACTTATTAGGTAGAAATAGTTTAAATAAGCTTAAAAAATTTATTATCAGAAAGTTTAAGAAGAATACTTTTAAATTCTGATTTCTTATTATTAATTTTTAAATTATAATAAGTTGAACCAAACAGCACCAGGGTTGTTCACGTCACGACCCGCTCCCCGTACCTAAGGGTTAAGTATCGTGATGGCCAGTAACTGAAGTTATCTACGGCCAATTCATAAATCAATTAATAAACGCAAGTGGAAGAAATATTTAAATAAGGGTACCAAAATAATCATTGGAGCTTCTATTTTTATTACAAAATATATTGACAAAAAAGGCCTATATTTACATATAAATAATATCATAAAAATACTGTGTGTGTCTATTCCGCAACCCGACTTTCCAAAAAGCTATTTCTGAAGTGCATTGATTCACAGAAAAATATCATATTCTCAAAATCTTAAATCATTTATTGTTTAAAAACTCTGACTAAATGTTGATATGAACTTTCACATTACAAATGTATGCTGATAAATAACATCTTCTCATGAAATCATACATACACTCAATGCTACATGAGTGTGTGAACTTTAACATTGGGTGCGATTATATATTTGTATTATAGAATTAATGTGAACATTCACATCTCTATATACACACTATGTTTGTGCTAATATGACTACTAATATTCAACTAACATTCAAAAAAACAAAACACATACCAAAGTACAATGTGAATGTTCACAATAAATAACAACATATAACTAACCTTTAAAAAAATAAAACTCATATCAAAATATAATGTGAATATTTACAATTTACAATTAAAATACAACTACCCTCAAAAAATTACTTTCATACCAATGTGAACATTCACACTGTAATGTGAAAACATAAAACAAAATTAAAAAAAATGCAAATTGACTATTTTGATTCTTCAATGGTAACAAAAATGATTATTCAACCAACAAGTATATTAACAAAAACAACAAACATATAACGAAATTTTGAAAAGATATAATTATACCAAATACAATATGAATTTTCACAATTTACAATTAACATACAATTAGCCTTAAAAAAAAAAAAAAAAAACTCATATAAATGTAAACATTCACATTGCAATGTAAATATACGAAACGAAATTAAAAAAGTGAAAATCGATTATTTCGATTGTTTAATGACAATACAAATGATTGCTCAACCAAAAAGTATAGTAACAATCAATATACAACAAACTAGCCAATAATATATAAAAAACTATTAAATAGTTCTATATATTGATGAACATTTTAAGAAAAATCTGTATATAATCAATTCCGGCATAATACCAACGAATAAACTATAGAATATCGGTGATTACACAAGACAACAAAGACATAATAATGGCAAAAAAACGATCGTTCATCACTGGTTTACCATCATCTCTGTTGCGAGTCCATCATTATCTCTATCATTGGTCTACATATATAATTAACATTTTCTATTGTAAAATAGTGGTAAAAAATGATTTTTGATCAAGTGAATCCCTCACATTGAGACAAAAAAAATACTAAAAAAAATAATCTTCTATATTTATATACAATATTTTATACATATCATAAATGAAATATAACTAATAATAATTTTCTCTGTCCTAAATATATGGTATAATATATATTATAATAAAAATTTATAAGGGTAAAATAAATAACATATTGAAATATAAGCTCAAATGTATGAGATTAGATAAAACATAAGAATATTTTGTGAACTTATTGGGTTATAAGTTTTATAAATGGGATTTATAAATAAATCTCTCAATAAATAAACAAATTATATGTAGGGCAAAACACCAATAAATCCCAAATTTAAATTTGTTAAACTATTTGGTCATGCCTTTTTATTTTGTAGACTAATAAATCCTATTTGAATGTTAAAAGCTCACTATAAACTTTTTTTAGATTTCTCTCCTTTCCGAACATCAGCAGCATCAACTACATCATCATCAAACGTCATCAAACATTAGCAACGTTCTGTTCATATTTTTTTTATCAAAACAAACATCACAACGTATTCAAACATCAACAACGTTATGTTTATATGTTTTTATCAAAACAAATATCATCAAACATCAGTAACGTTCTGTTCATATCAAAACATCATCAACGTCATCAAAAAACAATGTCCTGTTATATTGTATAAACATCAAGCAATTTAACATCAGCAACGTTTTGTTCATATGTTTTTATCAAAACAAACATCATTAACATCATCAAACATCAACAACGTTTTGTTCATATCAAAACATCATCAAGCATCAATGTTCTGTTATATTGTACAAACATCAACGTTCTGTTATATTGAAATTGTTTGATGTTTATACAATATAATAAACAAAGATATCATACCAAATATAAAAAGGACTAAATAGTTTACAAAAAAATACTCAGGACTAGATAGAATAACATTTCCCAATATGAGATTTATGAGTAATTTTTCCTTTATATATGTAACCTATTTTTTCTTTTTAAATGCAAATCAAGAGAAATTTAAATATTTACTCAAAAATTTTAAGACTATCTCATAGTTTTTAAACTTTTTATTTTATTTTATTTTATTTTATTCAAGACCATTTTTTGTATTGAAGAAAAACTTTTCTCAAATTTGTTAACAAGAATTAGACATGACATCGAAAAATATTATTATAAACATTTTAACTGGGATAATTTAAAAAGTATAGGTTTGGATTGACAAAATTAGAAAGCTAAGACCTAATTTAAAGGTACATTAAATTCTGTTGGATTTGTTGCCTTTTGTTTGATCATTCAATTTCAATTTTCTATACCTGGCTCCTTGGCACTAGTGATATGGGATAATGTAGCCATTGTCACACTTCAAAGACAGATCTATACTTAACGTTCAAATTCGAATTCAAACTTACACCCTACCATTACCGCCCGTGACTCAACACAAGCAAACAATTCGCCTCTGACTCGCGATCTGATTGGTCGTTCACCATTCAACCTCTTACCCACATCAAACTCAAAATTCAAATACACCACCAGTGGACCCCACACATGTCCGCTCCTAACGATTACCGAATGGAATCAACGGTCACGATCAGTTCGCAATTCAAATCACACCCTTGCCCGCCTCAAAAGCACCATAAACAAAGATTAAATACCAAACAGTCCTCTCTGTCCCCCCCCTCTCTCTCTAAAACCCCTCGCTTTCTCTCTCTAAAAAACTAGGCATCTTTTTTTTCCTCTGCTTCACTCTTATTTCTCTCTATCTCTGATTCTAGCGCTTTCTCTTAAATTTCAATAAGAACAACCCTAGAATTCAAGAACCCTAATTTCGATAAATTTTGGGTCTTTTTTCTTGCTCAATTCGCGAGCAAGAAAACAAGGCTGAACAAGTTTCGATTTTCCTGGAAAATAAACAAACATTCTTTCGTAATGTCGACTCAGAATCGGCGTTCTTCGATTTCGTCATCGTCTTCGTCGGTGGCGAAGAGGCAAGCGTCTTCGTCGGAGAATCTTGGGAAGGTCATGGCGGTGCCGCCGCATATGGCGAAGAAGAGGGCGGCGCTTGCTAATGTGACGAATCAGAGACACGGCGGCTCTCAGAGTGGATCGCGAGGTTTGGTTTCCGGGTCGTCGAATATGGTATACATTCTGTTCATTTCATTGATTATAGGTTTAATTTTGGGTTATAACTTGATTCTGCATGAGTTCGTTTCTTTATTGTTCTTTATACTTTTTCTTTTTTCTTTGTTCTTTTTCTTTTTAAAATGATAATTTTTTTTCTTGATCATGTTGTAATTTAGTTGAATTTGTTTGGAATTTATTTTGGTGTGTAGAATGATCAATGATATTGATGATATTGATGATCTTGAATATGTTTGACAATTATGCATTTTTATATGATATATTATTAATAAAAGACTCTGCTTTGTTTTCTGAAAATTGTTTTATTTTTTAAATATTTTTTTAACTAATTCTTTGTGTCTCGGTAAATGTCATTTTTTCAAAATGTTTTATCCTATTAAATCAATGTAGGACCATTTTCAAAGAAGACAAGTTCACAAAACAACAGAGATTTTCACGTTTTCATAGAACTCAAACTAACAAATGATATAAGAAACTGTTAATTACACAGCTGCATATAAATATAGACAGCCACTAATGTGACTCTCTCTCTCTCTCCATTCGTCCAAAAATCATGGGATTTGATTGTGTATTCTTGTATATAATTTGGCTTATGTAATCTCTTGTACATGATCAATTGATTTATGCTATAATCATGGGATTTGATTAGATACACCTGTATACATATCAATTTGAGCATAATAAGAAATTGAGTTGTTTCTTTCATTTTGCAGCATCTTATAGATTTTGTTCTACTATTACAAGAAACAAATATCTTTAAGAACACTAGAAAAGAAAGAAAGGAACAGAAATTAACCCATCCTTATTTTTATTACAAACTAATCCAAGAAGTAATCGTCAATCAGTTGGCACATTATTGTATTATTATGAATTGGTTGAAGTATAAAAAAAGGGGTCAACTTTCTGACTAAGCATGTGGAAAATGTGTAATAAAAAAATGTTGAATGACAAGACACAGGAATATATGACATGCAATTCAAACTCCGTAAACTTTGTCAGTGTAGTATGCAGAAATTTAAATTGAATATTCTTTATCTTATTCATTAGAAGTTGAGTTTGTAATTGTTTGTTCAAATATGTAAATCTTTTATTTAATAACTACTAAAGCACATATTTCATAAAGGAGCTTGAGTAATTATTTCTTCAACTGATTTTTTCAACCAGCAATTGAGCTTTTGGGCACTACTCGAAAGTGATGCTCCTGTTTTGTTCCGAGAATGATTTTATTTGAGTATATCTTGATTCAACGATTGAGTAATACAATTGTAAAATGTATTAATCTTCTTAGCATTATTTGAGTAAAAACCCTTTTAGTGATTTTATCATTATTACAATAGAAATTTCATTGTAAGAGTTGGATATTGGCTTTCAATAATATGAGAAGGAAGTTGGATAGGTTTCATTCAATATGATGTCCAATTGTTCTTCAATCTACTCTCTGGGTCTTTCACCCTTTTTTTTGTGTTGGGCATAAACATTTTATTTCAGTTTCCACTGTTAGAAATATACTTGTTTTTTAATTGAGACAAATGATTAATCAAATTTTGTATTCAAAGGTACCTTGCGCAACTAAATTTGCCAATGCCAAGAAGGTATCGTCTTCTTGCATTAACAATAATGCAGGCTTCTCTGGAAGTACCTTGCCAGCACCCTTGAATGTGAAACCAAGTGTGGTCGTTTCCAGTAAGAGTACTTCTTTCATTAAAGGCAATGATCTCTCAAGGATTATTGCTCCTCCTGCCCCATGCAGCATGGATATTTCTCCTCCTGAGTCAGATGGTTCATTTTCTTTGGATGAAACTATGTCTACTTGTGATTCTTTGAAGAGTCCAGACGTTGAATATGTAGACAACAATGACATAGTATCAGTAGATTCTATCGAGAGGAAGACATGTAGCAAACTCTACATTTCAGAGCACGTGGAGGAACCAGGTTTCATTTTACGATCTGTTTACTCATTGATGTGGTTTTTGCTGTCTTCCTTTTACTAGATTTTGTATCTTATTCTTTGTTTAGCATAAAAGCTGGATTGCAACTATGTGTGTATTAAAGTCATTTACCCTTCTTTCTATTCACAGAAAATATTTGCAAGAGAGACATAGTTGTGGGAGTGGTAACAGATGATGAGATTGTTGATGTTGATGATAATTTCATGGACCCACAATTATGTGCAACCATGGCTTGTGACATTTACAAGCACTTGCGAGCATCTGAGGTTAGACATGTATATTTGTTTTATGCATTGTTTAGTGGGCATTACTAAATAAATGCACACTTTTAACATTCTTTGCCCATGTTGAACATTATGGGTTCTTACTCTATTTTTCTTTTTCTTGCGTATCTTTCTTTTCTTCTTTCTTCTTTTTCTCTCTGCGGGAATATTAGGCAAAGAAAAGGCCTTCCACAGACTTCATGGAAAGAGTCCAAAAAGACATTAATTCCAGCATGCGTGCAATTCTTATTGATTGGCTTGTTGAGGTAATGTATGGTGGGTGATTGTGTTAACAATTTGGAATAATATGTGGAAAAGTTGGTTTAAATTGCAATACTTGACAACGCGATTGTTTTTATGTTACCTGAAAGGGTTACTTATTTTAATCCTGTATATGGTGAACCTAATCTCTGACTAGAAGTTTTCAACCTCAGGTTGCTGAAGAATACAGGCTTGTCCCAGATACAATGTATTTGGCTGTTAACTACATAGATCGCTATCTTTCTGGCAACACAATGGATAGGCAACGGTTACAATTGCTTGGCGTAGCATGCATGATGATTGCCGCGTAAGATGCAACATTTCCCCCTCTTCTGTTTATTTTCTCTGCTCTCTCGCTCTGTCTCTCCAATACATATGCTCTTTTGCTGAGGAAACAACATTGATAGTAACAAAATAATTGAAATTGCCAGAAAATATGAGGAGATCTGTGCACCCCAGGTTGAAGAGTTCTGCTATATAACTGATAACACATACTTCAAGGAGGAGGTTGGTTCTGTTTTCACTTAGCTGAATTATGCATTTTCTAGAAGTTGTTTTGATTTTTGCACAAGCATTAAGCGATTTAACTGCTGCAGGTTTTGCAAATGGAATCGGCTGTTCTAAACTACTTGAAGTTTGAAATGACAGCACCAACAGCTAAATGTTTTCTGAGGTAATGTCTAGATTCTTGATCTTGTTTCCATAGTTTCTATTTTTCGTGTAAGATGCTCTTGGTATTGACCCGTGATTAATTGACACGTAATGTAGGCGATTTGTTCGTGCTGCTCAAGGGGTCAACGAGGTATAATCTTGGACTCGGTAACTGATTGTTGGTTTTCTTTGCTCTAGTATGTCCAAAGTTTGAACATTATAATTTTTGGTAGTTCTTCGCTGTCTAATGCCTTTATACAAGTTAAAGGTCAATATCATTACATTTTTAACCAATTACAATCACATGTTTTTCGTTCAGAGACATATTCATTTCTTATCCAATTACTGATTAATATTTTGTAGGAAATCAATTAAACACTGGTTTATTTTTGTGGTTTTATCTGTTGTCCTTGCAGGCTCCCTCAATGCAGCTGGAGTGCTTGGCCAACTACGTCGCAGAGCTATCCCTTCTAGAATACAACATGCTTTGTTATGCCCCCTCACTTATTGCTGCTTCAGCAATTTTCTTGGCCAACTACATACTCCTTCCTTCGAAGAGACCTTGGGTACGTGCTGGTATATATATATTTACAGATTGTGCTCTTGCATAGATATCAGAATATGGTTTCTCAGATTTTCCATTTTTCTCCTCCTGTTGCAATCTGTCTTGAACAGTGTTAAAGTATTCTAACATTTGTATTGATACAGAATTCCACCTTGCGACATTACACACTTTACCAACCCTCTGATTTATCTGAATGCGTTAAGGCACTGCATAGCCTTTGCTGTAATAGCCTCAGTTCTAGTTTACCTGCAATCAGAGAGAAATACAGTCAACACAAGGTAATCAAAAGTTTTTCATTTTTTATTCTCTCGCTTTCAACATCACCCACATCCACAAACACCATTTGTGTGTTAAGTTTGGAGCTAAACTAACTGCCTGCTTGTTACTTGTGTGTGGAACAGTACAAATTTGTTGCGAAGAAATACTGCCCGCCTTCAGTACCTGCAGAGTATTTCCAGAACCTAAGCTGCTAGACAGACAGACAGCCAGTTGTATATGACTGTTTCAATGCTCCATTGGATGGACTTCTTCATCTGCTGCTGTTCCAGTGCTCCCGTTGGATGGAAATTCAGACAATGCTTTTATGTTGAAATGTTTCACGCATGAATAGGGCCTCTGCTGATATCTCATTGTGCTCTGCTTCATTGATCCAGATGACAAACCTTGTACCATATTGTTTTCAGATTTTCTTACTCACTGTTCAATGTGTTCATTTTCCAATTTTCCAGAATTTCATCTCTGTTGCTGTACTTGTTTTAGGCCATTTGGCTTGATGTTCCAATGAAATCTAAATGTCTTTAACGTGTGAGCAACAAAATTTAACTGAGCCAATCAATGGCTGTTATCATAGTATCATTATGGTCCATTAATCATACCACATTTAATAAACAACTAAGTTTTTGGCTGGCAATCAGAGAGAAATACAGTCAACACAAGGTAATCAAAAGTTTTTCATTTTTTATTCTCTCGCTTTCAACATCACCCACATCCACAAACACCATTTGTGTGTTAAGTTTGGAGCTAAACTAACTGCCTGCTTGTTACTTGTGTGTGGAACAGTACAAATTTGTTGCGAAGAAATACTGCCCGCCTTCAGTACCTGCAGAGTATTTCCAGAACCTAAGCTGCTAGACAGACAGACAGCCAGTTGTATATGACTGTTTCAATGCTCCATTGGATGGACTTCTTCATCTGCTGCTGTTCCAATGCTCCCGTTGGATGGAAATTCAGACAATGCTTTTATGTTGAAATGTTTCACGCATGAATGGGGCCTCTGCTGATATCTCATTGTGCTCTGCTTCATTGACCCAGATGACAAACCTTGTACCATATTGTTTTCAGATTTTCTTACTCACTATTCAATGTGTTCATTTTCCAATTTTCCAGAATTTCATCTCTGTTGCTGTACTTGTTTTAGGCCATTTGGCTGGCTTGATGTTCCAATGATCTAAATGTCTTTAAACGTGTGAGCAACAAAATTTAACTGAGCCAATCAATGACTGTTATCATAGTATCATTATGGTCCATTAATCAGACCACATTTAATAAACAACTAAGTTTTTGGCTGTCGCAATTGGCGGGGCGGAGGGTGACGATCACTCTCAAAATTTTGAAAAATATTATATATTAAACTAGAATATGTAAACAATTTAGAATAGATTTGTACATTCAAGCATACTTTCGCAACTAATAGTGATAATTTTGGATCGAACCTGATGGATGATAAGAACAAGGAAAGGGCTATTTCAAGGATGAATTTTTGCACAATGGGTATGATTTTTTTTTTTTTTTATAGTAATATTATACAAATAAATAAAATATATTAGTTTATATATTTTTTTACCCAAAAAAAATGAAAATGATAATTAACAAATAATATTTTTTGATTTTATAATATAATAAAGGACAAATTACAGTGCCTATAGTCAAATAAGGACAATTCATCCTTGCTTAATTTTATGGACAAAATTGTCAATTTGATAAAATATAAATTAATTTGATAAAAATAAATGTCAAAAAGATATTTTTAAATTTTTAAAAATTATTTGTACCTACCAAAAATAAAACTATGTAAAATTGATAAATTTTTTAGATATTTTTTTTTATCAAATTAATTTTTATTATGTGTTTGGATGATAATGATCATGTAATAGGTGATTGTTAAGATTTTAATGTGTAATCGGTATATTTAATATATGAAATTTTTTAATTTTGGATTTTTTGAGTTAATGGATTAATTTAATAATAATATCAAAGTTGTAGTTGTTGGCTTTTTTGGTTTTCGAATATTGTAATTTTAAGCGTGCCAGTAAGGATCAATTAGTCCTTACAGAAGATTAATTGCCAACCAATTATTAGACGATTGTGTTTTAATTTTTTCAGTCTCAATGAAGATGATTTTTACTGGTGGCTTGTTTAAGAGAATTTAGTAAATAACAATTAAGCGAAGAATAATTACAAAATTTCATTAAGTAAAATGAAACTATTTGAAACAACTCCTATGAATGAAGTGCAATATGGGAATTTAAAGTACAAAAATGTAAAGAGCTGTAAAAACTAGAAAGGAAAATAAAGTAGATAAAACTGATTTTTTTATTTGAGTCCGGATCCTCCTTTCTGGGGCCTTCTCTGTTATTTATACTTCTCAATGATAACCGTCGAAATGGGCTCCTAACCGTCGAAATGTCTCTCCGTGATTGCTAATCATGCTCTCTCACAATCAGCCCTACTACGCTATGTTTGCAGTTAGGCTTCCCTCCTAATTTTGAATTTGAATCTTGTGAGTAACCGTTAGGTGTTACAATAAGAGGAACAGATGTTGTTTCTCTCCCAGATGCAAGAAACCTTTCCAACCCCCCAGGTGTGAATTTGAACAGAGAGGGTTAATGAACCCTCTTGTGCCAGGTATGGCTTCGAACATGGGATTTAGAAATATTCTCATACCATTTTCTTGTGTTGGTCCAGATCCACCAATTTGTATGACTTCGTTGTTAGGTAATGATACATTTTGAGGTCTCAAAAGAGGCTCATACCACGACTGAGGTACAGGCGACGGTCTTTCATAATTTTGATTACTAGTTTGACCATTAGTATGTCTATTACTTCGCATAGGCTGCTTATCTCTAACCAATTTTACTGAAGAACATTTGAGTTTTCCTCCATATATCTTGTGTTAGTTGGTTGATGAGAATTCATTCAACTTACAAAGGATGTTGCCCATATTTCCATTGTGTTCATTAACTGCTGTCCCATGGTATCTACCAAGCCTCTCCACAGATTCATTGGCTGGGTAGATAGAATAGTGGATGGTACAATTTCATGGCCCTGTGCAACATTTTGAACATGTGGTACATGTTCTGAAGTGTTGGTCTGTTCAACCATAGGTTCTGATAGGGTAGGTACTTCTACAGGTTGTGTTATCACATTATCTTCTAGATTAGGTATTTCTACCTCTCCCTCCACACCTTCTTCTAGGGCGTTCATTTTCTCATTGTTTCCTATGTCTAACCATTTCAATTAGTCCCACTGGGTGTGCCAAAAATATATGTTGGCTTTTTTGGCGTTCGCAAGTTAGTATTGTAATTTTAAACGTGCCAGTAAGGATCAATAAGTCCTTACAGAAGATTAATTGCCAACCAATTATCAAACGAATGTGTTTTAGTTCTTTCAGTCTCAATGAAGAGGGCTTTTACTGGTGGCTTGTTTAGGAGAGTTTAGTAAATAACAATTAAGTGAAGAATAATTGCAGAATTTCATTAAATAAAATGAAAGACTTAATAATTGCAGAATTTCATTAAATAAAATGAAAGACTTACAATGATTTGACCCAGCCTTGTAGAGGTTTACAGCAACAAATTATTTGAAACTACTCCTATGAATGAAGTGCAATACGGGAATTTGAAGTACAACAATTTAAAGAGCTGTAAAAAATGGAAAGGAAAATAAAGTAAATAAAATTGATTTTTTGATCTGAGTCTGGATTCTCCTTTCTGGAGCCTTCTCTGCTATTTATACTTCTCAATGATAACCGTCGAAGTGGGCTTCTAACCGTCGAAATATCCGTCCATGCTTGCTAATTATGCTCTCTTACAGTCAGCTCCACTACGCTATGTTTGCAGTTAGGCTTCCCTCCTGATTTTGAATTTAAACCTTGTGAGTAATCGTTAAGCCACATCACTTTATATTCATCGATCATTCCAGTGCTACGCAGGCCCATTAGTACCAGTATGGGTTGACACGCGTTTGACCATGGTTAGCAATTTATATTACCTTCCCAAATTGCCCCTTTCATGCCACATGTTGAATTGTGATTGGCTTATACAAGTTATATAGCCAACCATCGCCATATTTGACTTTTGAAAAAATAAAAACTAATTTAATGAAAATAAAAATAACCACCAATTTCATGATCATCATCCAAATGGATGATTTTTGCCTTTTAAATTAAACAATGATATCTTTAAATTATCTTTATTTGAAATAAAATTTAAAATTTAAAATCAATTGTATTATAATTGAAAAGTTAAGTATTAAAGTGACACAACTCTCGAACTATAAGAATTGTTAGTCTAATTCAGTCTATAATAAAATAAAATAAAAAGCAGCAATGTAAACAACTGTAAAAACAGTCTACATTCCGTCTGAGCGGTGAAAGTGTGTGTGTTACGCTGAAGAAGCCATTTGCGTGGGTGGGTCGTTGGTAAACTACTACCTTAAAAACCATAACTGTAACCGTGACGGCTTCATATACAACCCTCACTCTCTCTCTCTCTCTCTCTCTCTCTCTCTACATACACAGACCTATGCATACAGAAACTTATTCACCAAGAAAACCCCCTCTGTATATGTATATAGCCATTTCCAAGCAAGTTCCAGCTCTTCTCTCTCTCTCTAAAAACCTTGAAGCATTGCAATAATCACCTTCAACTTCTAAATCTCATACACTATTATGTGTACATGTATTATTTGTATAATTGTTGATAAAATCTGTACTCTGTTTTTTCTCTATCCCACAATTGAGGATTCACTTCACACCATTCTTCCCCTTCGATCTCAAAGAATCAGAGGTTCAATCTCCTAATTCCCGAACTCAAACAGCCGATTCTTCATCACCAATCACCTCCGATCACTGGCTTCGACCAAATTCGAATTCTCACCAGTCCGATTCAAACCCCTGCAAACCCTAAACCCCGACACCATTATCACTACCATTTGCTTTTGTTGTTGTTGTTGTATTTGTAGAATTTGAAAATGAGCTTCTTGAGATCCTCTGCTTTGTACCAGTTGTTAGTTACTTTCCATTCGCTCCGATGGATGCCGTGCCAGAGCTGGGCTTTTCTTCGGTGGCCGAGTCTCGACAGCATTTGGGTACTTTTCATAATTGTGCTTTTGTGGACAATGCATTCTGAAATTCGATCCATTCCATCATCGTCTATGTACCCAACTCTCCGTGTTGGTGATCGGATCATCATCGAAAGGGTATATCAATTCTTGGAATGTTAATTGTGTGTATATATATATAGCTTTTAAGTTGTAGTACAGAACAGACAATGGTTGACTAATTTTCTTTAGTGTTATTATTATTTTTGTGCTGACTTCATAAGTTGTAGTACAGAACGGACAATATTTGTTTCTTAGAATTCAAATTGTATTCATTATTATTTTGTTTTTTAAATAGTAAGATTTTAGTTACTTGGCAAGCATTAATCTTTTTCTAGTTAAACTTTAAGGATGTATTTGATTCATTAAATGAATGTTGGAATGAAATGGACCCCCATTCACATGTTTGGTTCGGTAAAAAGGAAAAGAATAGCATTCCATTGGGAGGCCAAGAAGGAATACCCATTTCTTTCCAGCTCAAAATTATGTGGACCAAACACTAATGCTCTATTTGGTTCATTGGAATGAGATGGAATGGTGATTCCTAAGACTTTCCTGTGGAATAACCATTCACTTATAATGGTGAAAGACGATTCTATTTGTAATATATTTGCCATTATTTTTTTAGTCTAACCAAATATGGAAATGAATATTTTGATGGGATGATCATTCCATTCCATTTCATTCCATTGAATCAAACACTACCTAAGTGTTTTGTATGTATAGAAGTAGACAGACAGGTTATAGATTCCTTAATCGATTCTCTCTCATTTTATCTTCAATAGTTGCTGCCTCTTCAATTTCACGTATTAATTGATTTCTAATCCTACTTTTTACAATTTTACCTCTACATTCATTTACTGGCATGTTGTTTCTTGATCGCCTAACATTCTACACCATAATTTTCCCATTGATATCTAATGAACTCATGTTGCTTTGTAAATTTTTTCAGGCATCATATTACCTCAGACGTCCTGCTATACATGATATTGTTACCTTCCGAGCTCCTACATTGGTTTGTTGGTTTAGTAATTAAGTTGACTGCGTGCTTTGTTGTTGGTTGTAGAATGAATTTATTTTTGTTTTTGCTAGGATTATCTGCTGAAATTTTGTTATTTTGCCAGATTCATCTACAGCAGCATGGACTCATTGAGGAACTGATTTTCATCAAAAGAATTGTAGCAAAAGCAGGTGACTTTGTTGAGGTATATATGTTGTTATTAATCCTCATAACATCATTGTAGAATCTGATCAAAATGAACTACTTTAATTTGGTTGTGTTATTTTAGCCACATTATGATTTTGATAATTGTTGGGCCTAGATAGTTAACTTTGTAGCAATCTGTAAATTAATTTTGACAAAAAAGAAAGTGTGGTTAGTATCATCATGTGTTTCTCTCTCAGCATTGTTCATTTTGTTTAACTTGTTGCATGGAATTAGTTCGAGCAGTACTGATGTTGGGTTCTTCTTGGGAGCTGTTTTCATTACATGGCAGGTCCGTCATGGGTCACTATATGTCAATGGAGTTGCTCAGAATGAAGATTTTGTAGCAGAGCCACCAACATACTCATTGAATTTAACTGTGCGCCTCTGTTCTGTTATCTTTTTATTGCACACTTATCCAGTATCATTCCTTGCTAGCATAGCATTTTCTAGAACCAAATTATGGGGAAATTGAATTTTTGTTTGTTTGTTTGTTTGTGTGTGTGTGTGTGTCTCAGATCACATACCATGTGTTTGGTATCCAAAAACAAATTTGTGTTCTGAATTGATTTTCCCTTTCCTGTAACCTGCAGCTTGTGCCCAGAGGACATGTTTTTGTGTTGGGTGACAACCGCAACAACAGCTGTGATTCCCACATCTGGTTAGTATTTTTAAGGGTCACTTGCCAACCATTTTGATGACTCACCTTCTTTCTATCTTGTGCATCTGAGACTGAGAGAATATTCCTTTTGGGGGCAATACTCAAACTTTTTTTAAAAAATTAGCTGCAATTTCAAAAGATGATGTTTTTCTTGTTTAATCAATGGCTTCATTTCTTCCTTTCTTATTTAAATATTTGAAGATGAATATTTAATTTTTTTCATTTTCTCTCTTTTCTGGCTGATAAACAGGGGACCGCTTCCTATAAAAAATATTGTTGGAAGATATGTCATGTGTTATTATAGGCTTTCAGGTTTCTGACCTATTCAGGATAGTAGATGGAATTGAGGTATCCATTCTTTGTCTGAAGATTTCTTTCTGTTGGAAAATTTTGTGGGCATATGATAGAAGGGCATTGTTGATACACGTATGGATTTTAATGTGTTACTGTCTCTGATCCTTGGCATTATCTTTCCAGTTGACTTGTGACTTGATCTTACTTCTAAAAAGTCATGGTCTTTAAAAAATTATTATCTTACTAACTCGTAATTTCTCTCATGTTTCTTGACTTTGAATATGTGTATGTACTGTTCAGATTTGGTCTCAATTTATACACATGAATCCCACAATTTTTGCATTCATATAGATGAATTTACTAAGCATATTCAAGACAATGTCTGTGGTGTCTATTGTTTGCAGCAGAGTTTTGATTAATGGAATTTGAGCGAGGACTAGGTTTAGAATCAGCAGACAAAAATGTATGATAGTATAATTTTAGCAAATCAAAAGTGAGTTTTTCTAAATATCTTGGGTCAACTATGTGCAATGTTTGACTAATTAATGCCAGTATAGAGGAGTGATTTGATTTGAATTAAACGCGCTAAAAGGACAAGAGAAAGTTAATAAAAAAACAAAAAATATTAACTTGAGGTCATGAGAGAGAACACAACGTCCTTTCAAGTAATAAAGGATATGGTTTTACAAAACTGTTTGGAGAAAATGGATCCTATAGCCAACCGCAGATAGTTGAAACTGAGGAGTTGATTCTGGGAGTTGATTAGATGTATATGCACAAGCTCACACGGAGAAAGTGACAGAGGCAGGCACATCAATTAAACTGAGTAAGAGCTTGTTGTGTGTGTATGGGTGATTTTACCACATATTACTGTTTTAGATTTTATCGTATTGCTTTATCTATGTCCAAGTTTCATAGCTGGGAATCATGCATTCATGTGTAAAATTGACTTGTCAAAAAACTCTTTTAACTGTTTTTCCGTTCTCATACAGGGACAATGCTTTAAACATCCACTTCATTTTCAGCTTCTAGTGCATATCTTTTGGCAGATTCAGTGTGGAGTATCCATTGGCAGATTAAGAGTAATTAACCACCTCGATAATCTTATGCAGTTTCATTCACTGTACCAGTTTTGGTAACCTTTCTGAGAGCCATAAAGGATGAAATATTGGTATTGTGATCTGTACATAATGTACTCTGTTAGCAGCATTCCTCACTCATTGATTTCTTTAGAAAGCGAGCTGAGCTGAGTTCTGAGCACAGGGTTGTTACTTTTGACATAGTTCATAGTTGCCACAAGTATGAAGAGCCGTCCATTGTCTATTCTTCTTGTGGGGACTTGTTTCTGGTTGTGTGTGCGTGTGTTTTTTTTTTCATGTGTACTGTAAAACCAAAACAGAAATACAGAGCTGTGGAAAAATTTGGATTGCAAGAACTAAGCTAACCCTTGACCAAAGAAGGGATGTGTTATTCTTCATCATTTCATGCATCTACTCTTCTTGTAAATTTATGACTTCTTTATCCTTTACTACTTACATATCTAATGATAACCATGGAATTTTTTATTTTTAAAATAGAAACAATGGAATATACAGTGTTGGATCCTCTCTCGCCTTCTTCTCATGTTTCAAATCACCTCTCCATCACATGATGAGTTTCTTTGACTCTTTTTTTAAATGTACTTTTTAGCTGCAACAAATGTTCCCACCAACCCTCTTAGTAACCATACGATCAGAGTTTCCCTCACTGTGATTGTGTGATAGAGAAGTAGTTTGGAAGTGGAGATATGAGAATAGAAAATCTGGACTCATTGTTGCCCCATATATTTATGTCAAGTCTTGCCTTTTGTTCTTTCCTTTTCACATTGATGGTTCTGAAAATGCAAATTCAACCATTAAATGTGCTGCCATCCAAAAAGTTTACCTCTCCTGCTGTTTCAGATTGCTAAGAATAGAAGTTTTGGATTGGTTAAAACTGCCCATCAATGTAAATTGAATGGTGTAGGTTCAACTCTTGCTCAAAGTTATTGTCACTGCTATCTATGTGGGCGTTTGGGAAGTGGATTTTTTTGTAGGTTTTTTTTAGTTGTAGGATATTTTTGGAGAAATTTTTTTTTGTGTTTGGAAAGATAGTTGAATTTTTTGTAGTTAGATGTAATATTTGTGAGAGAAAAAATGAAATGATTATGGGGTTTGATGTGATATTTTGTTTGGATTTGTTTTTTTTAATTTTGTGATAAATTTGTCTTTTAGGGAAAAAAAACTAAAAAAAACCAAAATTGGGGGGAAAAAAGGCCACAACTTGCATAGGTTACTTGTAGCCAAATAGATGTATGGGGATAGCCAAAGATTGAACCTGATCCCTATTAAGCCTACACTATCTCTAGCAAGTTGGCCCAGTATAATCTTTAGCAAATTTGCCCATACCTGAGTACAGAAAATACCATCATCAACTACTTACAAATTGAGATTCACTTTCTTGAGAAAAAAATATTAAACAGTGATACAATCTTATGTAATGTCATTGACTAATAAAATAATAGCTTCTATTAGTACAATGTAAAATTTCTCATTGTCTAATAATATAATAACAGTATCACTGTCATATATAATATTTACTCTAATTTTTAATATTTCACACTTAAACGAGACAAATCAATTCACTTGCCATGTAATTGGTCCAATACCTTTGCCAGGCATATGGACATACCATGACTAGTGAAATTTTATTTTATTTTTTTTCAGAGAAAGCTGAAGTGTATTGATGTTTAAAAAAATTGATAGAATTGGATACATTGATCTGAATTGGTCAAATTTTAGAGACGTTAAACTATTTTATTTTATGCCCGTGTACTGATAAAATCTTATAATATGAGAGATCTAACCAAAAGCCCAAAACACCATAGTGAATGGTCCATGATGGGTGGATAGCTCTATGAACCAAGTTTGTAGAACAATTGAAAGAAATATGACCTTTCGGCCTTGGCAATGGGATGAGTCAAGCCCACCTTTTTCCAATGAAGTGTTGAGACTTGACTCAACGTCATTGAAGGACAATCTGGCAATGTTGACACAAACCTAATCTCTAACTTGGGTTAGGATGTCAACACAACACTTCCATTGTCTCATGGCACATTCGAAGGAGGGTTATGTCTAAATGGATTGGGACATCTGGAAGCACGATAGTTGGAAGAAATCTTGGATCATTGAGGATTACCTGTCGATGTGTAATGGTCACATTATATAAAGAGGCATTATTCATTCACTAGGTAGGCAAATGCAAGAAATTTAAACCCTAACTTAATTGCTAAATGATCTTTGGCTGACACTACATTGGTGTCAGTACATTAGACTCACTGTATTAAGTCTATGCGATGAGTTGCATATACTGAATCAATGTTTTTTGTTTTAAAAAACTAGTTTCTTAAATTCAAGTAATTTTGAACTTAGCAGTGTTTTTGAAAACAACACTTCAGACTTGGAATTGTAAAAAAATCTTACAGTTGACAAATGAATTTTAGAAGAATTCTCCATGTGATTTACGTGTGGAATTAAAACTCATGATTGGAGTTGGAGAGTGTGAGTCACATTCAGAGAAACTCTGTATGGTGCATTTTGGTCGGCCCAGATAGGATTAAGACTGACAGTCACAACCACTCAATTTTGGGCACGAATGTTTAAAAAATTCAAAACTTGGTTCGGTCCGATTTTATTAGCTTTGGTTTTAGCTTTGATTTCGATTTTGATTTGAAAATGATTGATTTGTTCAAATTGATTTGGGTTCAAATCTACAGGTTTGATTTCGGTTGGTTGAATCGCTCCAATCGATTTAATTCTAAGTTCTACGGGTTTGATTTTGGTATTGAAAATAGTTGAATTTTGCAAATCGATTAAGTTAAGGCTTTGATTAAATTTAAGGTCATGATTTGAACCGTTATATATTTATGAAGTTACCAGTAAAATTTAAACATTAGTGTTGATTGTGAAATTGACAAACTTTAATCAACTTTAAAAAAATATTTATGAAGTTACCAGTAAAATTTAAACATTAGTGTTGATTGTGAAATTGACAAACTTTAAAAAAAAAAAAAAAAAAAACTAATCTAAGCACTCATTTGGCATGGCAAATTTGAGGGCTAAAATAAGTTAAAAAGTTAATAAAATAAAATGTCACATTCAAATTATAATCATTTTATTTTTTCTCTTACAAAAATAAAAAAATTTAAAAAGTGTATCTCAAACGAGATTTTTCAACCCTAGACTAAAATAGTAAAAAAAAATCAAAAAGTAAAAAAAGCAATCTACATTCCAAACGAATCCTAATTATTGATAATTTATTTATTATTATAATATATATATATATATATAAATCATATTTCTTATTATAAAAGATTGAAAAATGCTTGGGAGCACTAATTAGTGCTCCCACTAATTAGGTGGCAGTGGGTCCCGTCATGAATGATGTGATGTTTTGATCTTGGAGTTGTAATTTTTTTTTATTTTTTTTATTTTTTTAATGCATTAGTGCTATTAGTGGTGATATTTTTAGTGAGATGAATCATTGTTGTAAAAGATTTCTAAAATTGAAGAATTGACCTAAACCAAATCAGTTTTTCTTGATTTGATATGATCTGATTACACAAGTTAAATGGTTTGATTGTAATTTTAAGTTTTCAGCAACTATGAGGACCGATTCTTATCTTATCTTATCTTAAAATTCGATCTATCCGATTAATAAAAATGCTAATTAGTGCAACCTAGATCACACCACTCGGAATTCGAACTCGAAAACGAGAGACACAGACAGACAAGTAAGGGGTCGGGACGAGTCAAAGAGTCAACAAAACGAGATTTCCATTCACGCCGCTTCGCCGCGTGATGATTCTCGAGTCTCCCACTCGTGAGAAAGCCGAATATGGGACGGACCACCACAAATGGCATTCTGGTAAAAAATAGTCAGCCGCCATTGAACCTATTCCCATTAAAAAATAAAATAAAAATAAAAATAATTCACCTTATGTTTGTTTTTGTACAAAATATATTTTTAATAAAATGCGTTTATGGAATTTTGTTCTAGAAAGCTTGGTCTCAATCTTAAAATTAATGTGCTAGATTAAGTTAGCTTATAGATTTTATCTTTGGTATGGAATTTGATAAAGAAGTAAACTCTCAAAATAAATCATAATTTTCAATTTAAATTTTAAGAAATTTTTATTTAATACATGTTTTCACGTAAATTTTTTTACTATTTTAAAAATAATTAATTATTTGTGAAATGAAATTACTATTATAAAAAACACTTAAAAAAAATTATCTTTTAGTAGTGTGAAAATTCATTAACTAAAGAATTAAATTGATAAGATATATAATTTTTTAAGATTAGATTAAGTTAGTTCATAAATTTTATTTTTAGATATTTATTTCTTATAAATAATTATATTTTATTATTTAACTTCAAAATTAAATTTTAATTATTTATTTGAACCAGTGCATAGCACGGGTATTACGGTTTATAAAATAAATTTAAAAAGTTACACATGTGTTATAAAAATCTGTTAAGTAATATGTGAGTGAGAGAGAAGAATGAGAAAAGGGCCCAATGTGAGATGTCAAAATTAGCGATTGTGAGAAAATTTAAAAATTATACTTAGTAGGTAAATGCTGATTTTTGTTATTCAATTTTTTCATTTAAACAAATTTTGCTAGATTGAGTTTGACGAAAAAATAAATAAATTATTAATACTATTATATGGCAAACTAAAAAAAAGTTTAATTAGTAAATAATAATAATAATAATAATCATTGAGTTTCACATAGTTTACCATATCGTCTAATATATAGCAAATTAAAATGAAATCCTTAGAAAATAATAATGTTATTATATTTTATCATAGGTGTAGTTTTTGTTCCTAAAAATTAAAATTAAAAAGTACAATTTTATAATTTATCATAATTTTTGTTTAATTTTGATTGATTACATTATGATTCATTTTATTGTTATTTAAAACTTAAAACATAGCATTAATGGTAGGGAAAAATAAACAAAAACGAAATCATGATAAAAATAGTTAAAATTTAATTACTTTTATTTTTTTACTATTTAATTTTAAATTTTAAATTAATTATTTATTTGAAATCTTGCATAGCACGGGTATTACGCTAGCGTAAAACCCGTGCTATGCATGGCAAGTAACAAAATGTGAAAAACAATACCAAACATATTAAAAATTAACTAAATATTATTATATTAATTTAGATGGGTATTTAAATAATGGATTTGAGTGATTTCAATATGTTTAGCAGGACTAATTAACTTTTTTTGAAATACACTCAATCGAAAAGGAAGAGTAAGAGTGAAACTCTATAAATATAAGATAAAGATAAAAAAAATTAATTTTAAATTTGAAGATGAATATAGAAAGAGAAAATTAGATAAATTTTTGAAAAAAAATAAACTTAACTGAAAATCAAAAGCAAGAATGGGTTCTATAAATATAAGATAAAGGTTAAAAAAATTTAAATTTAAATTTGAGGATGAACTATAATAATATAGAAAGAGAAAATTAAAAAAATTCTAGAAAAATGAGGTAGAAAGAAATTCAACAA